GGCGTGAGTGTTTATGTTATGTTATGTTATGTTTATTTGCTTTAGTTGCCATGCTTCGGATTTCATAGTCTACATTTTTAACTTTTATTAAATTTAGACGTTTCAAGTGCTTATTGTGAGCAGCTCTGCGTACAGTTATGTTCAGATATATTAGATGTTCGATTATGTGCCAGAGTGTAACTGAAGGGCTAGCCATCTAATAATCCGGCTAATTAAACTATCTAGCTGCGATACATATTCATCACAACAAAACTTTTAAGAACTATTAACTTGACAGTCATTGTCTTTTCGATTATTAACATGAATAAAAAACTTATTTGAAATACAATACTTGACATCACTACTACCTAACTATAAATTTATTAATTATCATACTTAAACAATAGTATTCGTGAAATAAAGTAAAAGCGATTCGTTTCGATGCATCTTAAATATACATTTATATGTAAATATTTACTAAAACTTTACATATTTCTTAGTTAACATTGTTTCATGGCAAATGTAAGAGCACTTGAACTGTTTTGGCTATTTGGTTCCCGATTAGAGTTACCGGCCAATTTTATTTGTCGCGTCTCTTCCCGCCAATTTTGTTTGCCGTACTGTACTTCGAATTGTAAATGATAAAACAAAGTGTTCTCATACATAGTCAAACTCTAATGGATTACGTTAGTATGCGTATATATCTTGCTTAGAAATAAGACGGTTCTCATCAAACATGGTTGTACCACGTAGTAAATGTTAATATTTAGTAGCCAACAAATTTAACTAAATGTAATAAGGTGGTGTTTATTAATAAAATGTATACTCGTAGTAAGTATAATACAGAAATATTTGCTTAAATTAAAATTAGTAAAAGCTTATAATGTTTGTGAATCGTGTGTTTATCTTGGGATTTAATTTTCCTACTGTTAGTCAATTCATATCGTCTTTAGTCAATTCTGTAGTTTGTAAAGGTAGTAATTAATTAAGTCAGAAATAATTTAGTTTTCATATTATGGCTTCGATCACTTCAAGAGCCAATTTTTATATATATGTTTTAAAAATAAAACTTTAACTTTAAACAAAGAAAGCTCAGATCACCTCTGACAATTCAAATGTTATGCGTCACAACTTGTAATTACATTGGCTCCCTAAGCCCTTCATATCTGAACATAGCAGTGTACACTCTGCTGTCTGGCGGCAGAAATACGTAAGAAGGATAGTACCAGCTCAGACAGGCTCCTAGGTAGAAGTAGTCTGACCATTCATGGATAGATGTGTATTATTAGCTCTTACATAATATATATGTATGAGTTTTGTAGCAGCTGGTGTTTGGCCATATATTTAACAACAACATATATTTATTATATATGTAAAAATAATTAAATGAGTGCAGGATGGTAATCGAGCTTAATTTGAAAGGCATATCTATAATACGTTTAGAAATTTAAGATAAGATTGTCATAATAAATGTTTTGGTTGTTTTAAGTAAGTATAATAAAAGATAAATGTGTCCATTTTTATCAGTTGTATTTTTAAGCTTATTTCATAACAGGTTCACCTTTTTATTGATATAAACTTAAAATAATATGAGTGCAATTGTGACATTAAATTGTATGAACGGAGAACGCGTGTTAGTGTGACAGTAATTTTACCTAATACTTAATATGGCCAAAGCTTTGAACGGTATTTAAGTAATTTTTCCGTAACAGTGAACAAATTTGTATTAACAATATTGTACCTCACTTTATTTTAATTAATATGTTAGTATTGTTTACACATATGCCATTCCACGAGATTTGCTCAGTCAACAATCATCATTGTATGTTTGATTGTTGAGCAAATCTCTTGCATTAGTTGTTTCCTCTTGAAATCTTACAATGAAGAAAACGACTACGAAGGGATCAACTCCCGATATAAAATCTACTTTACAGAAAAAGGTTTATATAGTCTCACGAAGTTTTCTGAATAAATCGCTGTATGACTATCACAGGCTTTAATATAAATTAGATCTGCTTTAGAAATAAAATAATTTTTATCTAGTTTGGAGCACCTCTTTCTCTCCCTTAATTGCGTACACTTCACCGTCAGGTGCAAGTAGACTTTGCGATGATCTATTTCTTAGGATGATGCCTCACTTAGAGGCAAAACACGTGCATAATCGATGGTGATTTGTTTCTGTTTTCTTGGTATTGGGAGTAGGTATTGGCGTAGGGGTTATTGGTGACGGTGATAGTGCAGGTATAATTCAAGTAGGGAGTGGGTTGGTGTTCAAGATAGGGAAGACACGTTATAAATATTTTTCAACAGATTAGATTTATAAATTTTTCGCAAAGTAACGTCTGATTCTATTAATTGCCATTAACATTAGTTGGTCTCGTTAGCTCGAATGACAATAACCATAATAACCGTTCACACTTTTTTTTTTACTATCTTTGTCGCACTTTTCTGACGGACTCAGCATAAATTAATTATGCACATTATATTTCAATAGGATTTATTATAATAAAAATATGTTAAGTGTTAATTAGAAAAAGCAAGACAAGTAAAGTGATCCTGATCATGTAGAATTGTAGGTTCTCTCTATGCATACATATGTATATAATTACTCTAAGAGTCAGAGACACGAACCATAATTAGTCGTAGTATAACACTGATGTCTGTATATACAATACGAGCAATTGTTTTATTCAAATTTAATATTGTTAAACGTCCATAAAAATAAATTTTGCTAATTGTATTCTGACTAAATTCTTGCTACTTTTTAAAAGATATATTAATAATGGTGAATGTATTTTTCGATGTATTATTGTGTTGTGCTCATACTCCTATTGTCTATCTGGTATACATCTCAAGTAAAGTAATTGTTGTCTATCTATTTACTGTTTGTAGTCTGTCTTAAAATTATATACATGTCTATATGTGTACGAATTGTTGTTTCATTTTTGATCACCAAGCACAGACTTAACCTCAAATGATAATCAACCTCTTTTTCATTGACATAAAATATTGGTATATTATATATATCTTTATAATATATCTTTAATGCATGGGAGAATTCACAGGATGCTTTGGGTATATTTTGTGACCTATCCAAGGTCTTGGATAGTGTTCACCATGAAACATTAATCAGGAAACTTCAACACGACGGTGTAAGAAGTGATATTTCTTATTTATTTACACTGTTTGGCACTAAAGGTGCAAATAGCTTATGCAATATGGTTAGTAATGATGATGAGGGTATGAGCTCTATCATCACGAACTTTTACATGATCAGCTCATAAAAGCCCGCGCCGTGAACATTGACGATCGCAGTACCATGTGTAATCGTACCTTTGACGCTGCTGTCCGTCGCCGGCGGGGGTATTTTGACGTTCTCCAAATGGTCGTACCGCCATCTGTCGCAAGCCATTAATATTTACTGGAATTGAACAAAGTCGCCCCCTACCACAAACGACGTAGTAACGTGGTGATGGATAGTAAAGTGGTCCGTCGACCCATTTTAAATTCAATAAAATATATTTTTTCCGTTGTTGCAGATATCACAAAATTAATAATTGTGTACAGTCTTACAGTATACACTCACAAGTTTTGCCCCAATCATCTACATTTCAAGACATCAAAACAACAGATTGTTAAAATGGTCCAGTGGTAACTACTTCAAATATATGCAAATTCTAAATTTGAAAATATGTATAATATAATGAAAAATAATGTAGATAGTAAATATAGAAATCAATCACAGCCAAATTTAGAACCAAATTCATTTGACAATGCAGTAGAGGCGAATATAAAGGTAGAATATTCCGACGAAACTTTTGACCCAACTCGTCCACTTACATAAATTTAAACAGTGGAAAGACCGTTCTTACGAGTATATTTAATTTTGATGACAATCAAGAAATTTTCAATTTAAATCAAACATTTAAGAATAATTCTAAGTTAAAAATTATCACATGTGAGCTACTTTAGAATAGACGTGACGACGATGAAGAACTTAAAGCTATAAAGAAGGCTGTTTTCAGCATTATTAATATACTAAACAATAAAAATAACGAAAAAAAAAACCAGTTAATATACAAACTGATAAAATCTTGATTTACATTTTAATTTCTTTATAAATCTATTTTATTTTTGTAGGGTCATAATCCAGTGGCGGCTGCAAAAGTACAAGTCCCCAAACTGCAACAAATTGTACCTAATCAGAGTCACCATACGGGATTTTTGCAAGCCGTACCCCGCCCAAAAGGTCAAACCAGGCGCCCACATTCTCTTAGAGACTTTTCAGGTAACAACAACAGTTATAATAATCAAAGACAACATCCGTATCGCAATCAAAACCACGATCTAGCTAGGCCTCCAGGAGCTCAGGGTCATTACGATTCCAACAACAATGTGATTGCGTTACTTCAACCACAACAGTAACTACAATACTATGTAGGTGCAATGAAATAATAACCGGCAATAACAAGATGCCGCTGGCTGCAAGCAGTATATTATGCCACATAATGTAATTTTTAATTTTCTATTCAACTTCTATTTCTTTAAAGCAGCAAGCAGTGATTTAAATAAATATTACTGAAATTATAATGTATTACCTAGTCATCATGGTGCTCCTCTGGGGCTCATGTTTTGGTGATATAGATGTCGGTGTAACCAATGGAATACTAAGGATAAGTGGTGCTACTAATTGTACTGCTGATGGTGGTGATGGGCCCCAGATGATGCTCTATGATAATGATAGACAATATCTGGTCACCAAAAAACCCATGTTTGGCTTAATTAACTGGGAATGTGAGAATAACAACAAGGGTGAAATTGTTTCATTTTTTGAATGTGCTGAATGTAGCACATATTGTGTTTAAAATCAATATATAGAGAAATGTGCATATAGGACAATTCCTATTTTGTTTGCAACATTATTATCTAGCCTAATGGCACTAATGACTTTGATAATGATTATGACATTTTTTAGAAGTCATGTTCAAAAAATAATACTTAATGTTATCATATTTTTCATTATGCGATCTGATAGGAAAAGGGCAATGAGGATCATTCATTTTTGTATTAAAGACATTAAATACAAAAATGAAATCATAATGCAAGAAATTATCAAACGGAGATTAGAATTATCAGGCAAAGATAGTAATAATGAAGGGACATATGCAGAAATATTGTATAACAGATCAGCTGATTATAGAGAAACAAACCGTATATTGAGAGAATCAGAGAAAAGATTAGAGTTTTTACAGCAAGACGGGGCATCTAGACCACTAAGATCTATATCTATATCAAAGAACATAGTAAGAGGTACTGCCATTCTGGCAGCAATGCCTAATGCTACTTATCAATGTGACCAGATGCTGTATCTAAAGAGCAATGGAAGGATATGCTATAATGCACATTGTTATGACTAATCTACATACTCTCTGATGTTATCAGAAAGACAAACTGCTTGTTTTAATGACAAATTTCAAATTCAAATTTCAAATTTCAAATTCAAATTTCAAATTCAAATTCATTTATTTGCATAATACAGGTATAAAAGGTGTTACAGAAAATTATAATATGTACATTGTATTATTACCTTATGAGGTGTGCAAATACAATAAATGTTTTGTCTTAAAGACATACAAATATAATTGAGTGTTCTTTTGAAAAAATCATGCCATAAGATAAAATAGAATAGAAATAATTGAAATTGGCATACTAATGAAAATTCTACATTTATAAAATTAAATTGATTACAATAACAAAAAATGATAATATTCAATAAAAATTACTAGTCAAAATTGTCATTCAAGAATTCATCAATTTTATAGTAACATTTGTTTATTAATAAGTCATTCAGCACCTTTATAAATTTAAATAAGGTCATATTTTTTATTGAATCAGGTAGTTTATTATAAATTTGTGGGGCAATACCAAAGAAGCTTTTTTTCATTAATGATGTTTTACATTTTATGTAACATAACCTATTTATGTAGTGGGTACGTATTGGATTCTTTCTAATATCAGATATTTTTTGGAAAAGAAATGGATGCTTTTTTACAAAAATAGCTGTTTCCAGTATATACAATGACGGCAGTGTTAGGATTTTTAAATATTTAAAATAAGGAAAACAGCTATCTGTTACTTTGAGACCACACATTGATCTTACACATCGTTTTTGCATCCTAAATACAAGCTCCCTATCAGAAGACTGTCCCCAGAAAATGATGCCATATCGTAAAGCGGAAGCAACTAGTCCATTGTATGCTATCAAAAGAGCCTGACTGTTAACCTTGACTATGACCTAATGACCTAGACAACAATAGACTTTCTATTAAATTTGAGAACATGTACAATATTGGAAGGTACAGCAAACTATACGACACAAGTAGTTATAACATAACTAACACTATGACATGGAATTGTTATGGGTCAGGAAAATGCTGGTATGGTAGTGAATGTGGAAATGGATATAAACTAAACACTCTAGAAAAAAACAGCACAAACCCAAATGGCTATGGATGCCACATGTCATCTGTATCTTGTAATGGTTTATGTACTCATGGAGTGTCATGTGTCTGGTATAGGTGGGAAGTTTTGCCTAACATGAATAATGTTGCAAAAGTATATCACTCAGTGTCAGAATTATGGGAAAGTACACTTGTTATAATTTATAAAAACATTTCTAGAACAGTAGTATTCAATACTAACAACCCTACATTTGATCTGCATGATGATGATGATGATGAACTTATGAAAAGCCATTAAACAAACATGCTATTGTAGAATATAAGAATAATTATTATAATTTGGATGTGAGTCCACACAACTTGCCAATTGCCAATATGATTGGAGACATACAAATATCTGATGACAAGAAAGTCATATTTCACACAGATAACATTGATTGTAGTATTGATAGCTGTGTAGTTAAATGTATTTTGAATGAACCATCAATAAATAGGTTATTAGATCGTAGCCCATACAAAGTTGATCCAGAAATTATCCATAAAATGACAACCTTTGGAGAAAAATGGATAATGTATAAGCAAAGGGTGGCTGGGCATGTCACTATATCTTTTGGGAATGTTGAACTTAAAGAACTTGTTGTTGAAAAACCACATTGCTCTGTTGAAATTGTCATGAATTATGCATGTTTATCATGTCTAGAATTACCAAAAGTGGTAATAGCATCAAAGGGATTAGTTAGAGAGGGAGCACTAACTTATGAATCCAACTGTACCTGGGATCACGACCTATTGTCATGCAATAGTCAAATGTATGAAATTAAACAACTATATATTCATCCGATATGTAGAATCCATATTCCTATATTGAATCAAACTATTGATATCAACTTTAATTTTGAATACAGGGGTACCCTCACTATTATGAAATCAATTAGAGCTGAAACAACACTTGATGTAATAAGTACAATTGGATCAGACCCATACTTTTATACTACATTATTAGGATCTTTAAGTAGTTTTCTCCTTTTAACTACCATTACAACGGTAATCATTAAATTGACTAAACTAGGTATCATAGCATGTGGAAAGAAAGAAATTTCTAATGCTTAGTCATATGTGATTAGATTTAAGCTTCTTGTAATCATGATTATAATTGTAACCATTTATTAATTAGGAACACCTATCTTAATAAGCATTATATTATTTCATTGTTTTAACTATATTAGTTTTAAGAAAAAAAAAGGAACAAACACAAGCTAGTGATGCCAGTTTCTCGACTCCACAGATTCAGTAATTAATTCTTGGGGCAATGTATACGCTATTACAACAAGGTCCCGGAAAGTGTACAGGTTCTCTCTATTACCAAGTTTAAATGTTTTATTAAGCTGAAACTGTATAAAAAGGGTTATTATAGTATAAATGAATACATGGTTCATAATAACCCCTGGGAATGAGGTGGTCGCTTCCAAGCAGTTTCTAAAATAAATTTTGTAAATAGTTCGTAATCATTTATATTGTAAAATTTATTTAAAAAAAAGTCCCGCTGGGTTTCTTGCTGGTTCTTCCTAGGACAGAGGGTTTTTTTTCGAACCAGTGGTAAAGTAAAAAATGACTCAATAAGAATTACACATGTAATGTATATTGAATAAAAAATATTCTATTCTATTCTATTCTATTCTAAATTCCTTTTGATTTTTTATGTACATAGTCAATCAAATGTCAATTTTATTTTTATTTCAAATATTATGTTAATTTGCATTTATATTCGATTTTAACGTCTATGTCTGTTGTCAAATTATAGAATTTTTGGGAATATTTGCTTTAGCTTTAAGTTCAAATGTAGATTGAGAGAAAATATAAGTGGTATGGCTGAATTGTGTATGAATGATTTAGACTTGGAGACTGTGTGGTATAATGTCAAGAAAGTTTTAGTGGATGCAGCTACCGAAGCAAGTAAAGGGTGTAAGTAAGAGAACGAATGAAAGGAAAAATAACACGTTATGGTGGGATGATGAGGTACGGATGGAAGTTGAAGCAAAGAAGAAAGCATGGCTAGATTTACTAACAACCAAGGCTAGTAATTCTAGCAGTATGAATGATGATATTGAAAGAAAAAAGGCAGTTTTTAGAAACCTAAATAAGAGAGTAAAAGAAGTAGTTGAAAGGAAAAAGCAAGAAAGAACGGATAAGAATGATAGAAGAATATCGGATAACTTCCAGGCAAACATTAAAATGTTCTGGAAACTCGTAAGAACTACCAGGGGACATTCAAAACAGCCTAGAATGAATGCTATACGAGACCAGAATGGCTGTATTCTGAATGACGAAGTTTTGAGTTTAAGGAGATGGAAGGAATACTTTGAAAGCGTGTTTATGAGTGATGAGACGTTTGAATTAAATGAAATAGAAATTCCAAAAGAAGAGGAATTAGATAGAGATATAATTATAGATGAAATAATGAAAGCAATGAAAAGTATGAAAGCAGGTAAGGCAGCGGTTGTGATAGAGTGTCTCTCGAAATGCTAAGGGCTGGAGAAGGAGTGGTGGCAGACCTGCTGTACACCTTGTTTAATTTATGTTGGGAACTTAAGCGGGTACCGGAAGACTGGTGCAAAGCCGTGATAGTCCCAATATATAAGGGAAAAGGATCACAGCAGGACTGTAAAAACTATCGTGGTATCAGCCTTCTTAGCATTGTGGGAAAACTGTATGCTAAGGTACTAATTGAAAGAGTTATGAAAGAAACTGTGTAATGTGTCATCTAATTCGCGCGAAGACAAGTGGGGGTGCATGAATAGCCCGCGCGGCTGACTAGTGACCTCAGCCTCAGTGACAACTGATGGAAAAATTTGTGATGTGCAAACGGGATTTAGAAAGGGAATGGGATGTACGGATCAGGTCTTTTCCATGCGCATGATCGCGGAGAAGTTTTTGGCCAAAAACCAAAAACTTTTTGTGCGTTCATAGACTTGGAGAAGGCTTATGACAGAGTGGACAGGGATGTGTTATGGCAAACACTGAACTCGTTTGGGTTGACCGCTGGTCTGATACAGGCATTGAAGTCTCTATATAGGGACTCTAGTGCTTGTGTCAGGATCAACGGGGCCTACTCGGACTGGTTTGGCATCCATAAAGGTGTCAGACAGGGCTGTGTGGCTTCCCCGTGGTTGTTCAACCTATTTATGGACAGGTGTTTGGAAAATTTGAAAGTATAAGAATGCGGGTTAAGAATGGGTGAGTTAACCGTCAAATGCCTTTTGTACGCCGATGATCAAGTCATTCTTGCATCGTCGGCAGCCGAGTTGCAAATGATGGTTACATTAATGAACAGGACATTAAAAGAAAAGGGAATGAAAGTGAACGCAAGTAAGACGAAAGTTATGGTTTTTGAAAGAGAAGAAAGCAAAACGATAAGTGAAATAAGAATAGAAGGGGAGTTGGTAGAGCAAGTAGATGAGTTTGTATATTTGGGATGTGTGTATAGCAGGGATGGTAGATATGATAAGGATATAGAACGACGAGTGAATGCAGGAAATAGAGTGAATGGGGCTCTACACTCTATTGTGAAAAGTCAGAATGTGTCCAAAAAGGCACGTATGGCAAATCACAATGCTGTGTTAATACCTACTTTAATGTATGGTATTGAAAGTTGGGTGTGGCAGAAGAAGCATGAGAGTAGAATAAATGCTGTAGAAATGCGGTCATTAAGGAGTATGTTAGGGATGAATCTGAATGACAGAGTGAGAAATTGTTTAATAAGAGAAGAGTGTGGTTTGCAAGATGATGTTGTGACCAGGATTAAGAAAGTAATGCTTCGGTGGTTTGGCCATGTAGAAAGAATGAATGAGGAAAGAGTGACAAAGCAAATTTATGTTGCAGAGGTGAACGGCATAGTCGGGAAGGGTCGCCCTAGGCGAAAGTTTATCGACCAACTTGGCGATATATTAAAAATGGGCCAAATCAAGAGTACCTTTAACCGACAAGCGTGTATGCGTAGGTATATGGATGTGGAGGAAGCGAGAGAAGTGTGTCAGGATCGTGCCAAATGGAAGTCCATAATCTCTGCCTACCCCTCTGGGTGACAGGCGTGAGTGTTTATGTTATGTTATGTTATGTTTATTTGCTTTAGTTGCCATGCTTCGGATTTCATAGTCTACATTTTTAACTTTTATTAAATTTAGACGTTTCAAGTGCTTATTGTGAGCAGCTCTGCGTACAGTTATGTTCAGATATATTAGATGTTCGATTATGTGCCAGAGTGTAACTGAAGGGCTAGCCATCTAATAATCCGGCTAATTAAACTATCTAGCTGCGATACATATTCATCACAACAAAACTTTTAAGAACTATTAACTTGACAGTCATTGTCTTTTCGATTATTAACATGAATAAAAAACTTATTTGAAATACAATACTTGACATCACTACTACCTAACTATAAATTTATTAATTATCATACTTAAACAATAGTATTCGTGAAATAAAGTAAAAGCGATTCGTTTCGATGCATCTTAAATATACATTTATATGTAAATATTTACTAAAACTTTACACATTTCTTAGTTAACATTGTTTCATGGCAAATGTAAGAACACTTGAACTGTTTTGGCTATTTGGTTCCCGATTAGAGTTACCCGCCAATTTTATTTGTCGCGTCTCTTCCCGCCAATTTTGTTTGCCGTACTGTACTTCGAATTGTAAACGATAAAACAAAGTGTTCTCATACATAGTCAAACTCTGATGGATTACGTTAGTATGCGTATATATTTTGCTTAGAAATAAGACGGTTCTCATCAAACATGGTTGTACCACGTAGTAAATGTTAATATTTAGTAGCCAACAAATTTAACTAAATGTAATAAGGTGGTGTTTATTAATAAAATGTATACTTGTAGTAAGTATAATATAGAAATATTTGCTTAAATTAAAATTAGTAAAAGCTTATAATGTTTGTGAATCGTGTGTTTATCTTGGGATTTAATTTTCCTACTGTTAGTCAATTCATATCGTCTTTAGTCAATTCTGTAGTTTGTAAAGGTAGTAATTAAGTCAGAAATAATTTAGTTTTCATATTATGGCTTCGATCACTTCAAGAGCCAATTTTTATATATATGTTTTAAAAATAAAACTTTAACTTTAAACAAAGAAAGCTCAGATCACCTCTGACAATTCAAATGTTATGCGACACAACTTGTAATTACATTGGCTCCCTATGCCCTCCATATCTGAACATAGCAGTGTACCCTCTGCTGTTTGGCGGCAGAAATACGTAAGAAGGATAGTACCAGCTCAGACAGGCTCCTAGGTAGAAGTAGTCTGACCATTCATAGATAGATGTGTATTATTAGCTCTAGCATAATATATATGTATGAGTTTTGTAGCAGCTGGTGTTTGGCCATATATTTAACAACAACATATATTTATTATATATGTAAAAATAATTAAATGAGTGCAGGATGGTAATCGAGCTTAATTTGAAAGGCATATCTATAATACGTTTAGAAATTTAAGATAAGATTGTCATAATAAATGTTTTGGTTGTTTTAAGTAAGTATAATAAAAGATAAATGTGTCCATTTTTATCAGTTGTATTTTTAAGCTTATTTCATAACAGGTTCACCTTTTTATTGATATAAACTTAAAATAATATGAGTGCAATTGTGACATTAAATTGTATGAACGGAGAACGCGTGTTAGTGTGACAGTAATTTTACCTAATACTTAATATGGCCAAAGCTTTGAACGGTATTTAAGTAATTTTTCCGTAACAGTGAACAAATTTGTATTAACAATATTGTACCTCACTTTATTTTAATTAATATGTTAGTATTATTTACACATATGCCATTCCACGAGATTTGCTCAGTCAACAATCATCATTGTATATTTGATTGTTGAGCAAATCTCTTGCATTAGTTGTTTCCTCTTGAAATCTTACAATGAAGAAAACGACTACGAAGGGATCAACTCCCGATATAAAATCTACTATACAGAAAAAGGTTTATATAGTCTCACGAAGTTTTCTGAATAAATCGCTGTATGACTATCACAGGCTTTAATATAAATTAGATCTGCTTTAGAAATAAAATAATTTTTATCTAGTTTGGAGCACCTCTTTCTCTCCCTTAATTGCGTACACTTCACCGTCAGGTGCAAGTAGACTTTGCGATGATCTATTTCTTAGGATGATGCCTCACTTAGAGGCAAAACACGTGCATAATCGATGGTGATTTGTTTCTGTTTTCTTGGTATTGGGAGTAGGTATTGGCGTAGGGTTATTGGTGACGGTGATAGTGCAGGTATAATTCAAGTAGGGAGTGGGTTGGTGTTCAAGATAGGGAAGACACGTTATAAATATTTTTCACGCGAATCTTACCTGATTTATTTTAAACAGATTTGATTTATAAATTTTTCGCAAAGTAACGTCTGATTCTATTAATTGCCATTAACATTAGTTGGTCTCGTTAGCTCGAATGACAATAACCACAATAACCGTCCACACTTTTTTTTACTATCTTTGTCGCACTTTTCTGACGGACTCAGCATAAATTAATTATGCACATTATATTTCAATAGGATTTATTATAATAAAAAATATGTTAAGTGTTAATTAGAAAAAGCAAGACAAGTAAAGTGATCCTGATCATGTAGAATTGTAGGTTCTCTCTATGCATACATATGTATATAATTACTCTAAGAGTCAGAGACACGAACCATAATTAGTCGTAGTATAACACTGATGTCTGTATATACAATACGAGCAATTGTTTTATTCAAATTTAATATTGTTAAACGTCCATAAAAATAAATTTTGCTAATTGTATTCTGACTAAATTCTTGCTACTTTTTAAAAGATATATTAATAATGGTGAATGTATTTTTCGATGTATTATTGTGTTGTGCTCATACTCCTATTGTCTATATGGTATACATCTCAAGTAAAGTAATTGTTGTCTATGTATTTACTGTTTGTAGTCTGTCTTAAAATTATATACATGTCTATATGTGTACGAATTGTTGTTTTATTTTTGATCACCAAGCACAGATTTAACCTCAAATGATAATCAACCTCTTTTTCATTGACATAAAATATTGGTATATTATACAGGGTATTTTTGGAACGCTCCCGAAAACTAAGACAGGCGACAGCACCAAGTATACCTTTGATCATGGGTCACAAATAAATTCGATCCTGATGAAAAAAAAAATCATCTTTTAACAACGTTTTATTAGCTTTATTCACGCGCCATCATGTTAGCACAGCTAAATGAAACGATAATTTCATAAAAAATGTCATGAAAATACTGAAACATAAAACCAGCAGTGGAATGACTGAATTGTATCACCTGACTAAAGGTCAATGTACTCGCGAACGCAAATTCGCGCGGCCCGCAACTAGCGGGCCATACCACTACATACGCTAATGAAAAAATACTTAAATGAAATGTAACCAAGGTTGGAGTCATGCGTTTTTATTCATCGTGTAGGTATGTTTATTATTCTCATGTATTCAGTTATGTACCTATTCAGATTAGTTCAGTACTAAGTTATTTAAAAAAAATAGTTATGAAACAGCTTACCGCTCTAAATCCTCCGTGGTCTTATGAGATGCAGCTCAAATTGTGCTCCATTCATTTCAAGGTAGATTTGGGTGCAGGCATGCATGCATCATCGTGTGGTCTTCGACACAGTCCGTACATAGTTTCTCGAAAGCATCCACGATCCTTTGGCGCATTTTGTCAGCACTATCACACTGACGATTAAAAACCCTTTCTTTCACATACCAAAAAGAAGTCTAACGGGGTCAGATCTGGTGAGCGAGGTGGCCAAGCGTGTGGTCCTAGTCTGCCGATCCAGCGATCATCAAATAGCTCATTGAGGCGCTCACGGACGAACCTCACGACATGGTATCGCTGTCTGTTCAGTCGCTGTGGCAGAAACACTGGTCCCAGTATGCGATCCTTAAATAAACCTGCCCATACGTTAACCGACCATCGGGTTTGGAGCCCGGTTTGTCGAATAGCGTGCGGGTTAACCTCTGAATACACGTGTGTATTTCTTCGGTTCCACAGGCCGTTTCTGGTAAATGTCGACTCATCCGTCCAGATAATGTGCTCAATGGAACCAGGCACACGTTGTCGCTGGTATAATAACCAACGGCAGAAAACTCGTCGGCGGTCGTGATCGCCGGGAACTAAAGCTTGCACTTTGTGCAATTTGTATGGGCGCATTCGGTTACGCTTCAACACTTTGTGCACTGCACAGTATGACACACTTGTTCCATCCCGACGTCTTAACAATTTATTTGGCGATACTTCGTGTACCTGGGTTCGGATAACATGTTGCTGTATTCACAATCACTATAAAAGTACGCGTTAAGCATTATTAAAACAAAAAACGTAACAACAAGAATAATACCAACACGTAATCACAAGTAATAACAATACGATTTAGCTGTCGCTCGCGCACGCGTGTACAAAATCAACACGGAACTGTTTCAAAAACTACAATTAATAACGAACCCCAACAAAACTGAAACCTACTGCTAGGACAGTTATTATACTCTTTGTCTACTGCGTCACAGCGTGAGGCGACACGAGCCGGCCGGGTTAAATTCTGCCGTCGTCGGGTTACATAAAGGAGGACGCAACTAACAAAAAACGTAAAATGGAAATAAAAAATAAATTGATGAATTTTTCTTTCAGACCCTGTGTCTAAAGTATATTAAAAGGTATCTATATGAAAATTGAAATATATACGTAGAGACATGAAGATTTTAAGGACGAACAAATTTTTTGATAATTTGTTTATTTATTTAAATAAAACGAATTTTCCTTTTCATCTTAGCTTAAAAAATACACCTAGCAACACAAAAACATCGAAGGAAAGACGCATATAACTATTTGCGTCTTTCCAACCTAATAAATTTAAAAAAAACTGCCATTCATTTAACAATTTTACATATTTTGGAAAGGTCATTTGAAGTTGAAAGGACGCTAATAGTAATTTACTACTTTTTTTTTTAATAAATATTAGAAAAGCATTGGTAGTGAGACACAAAAAATAACAACCCGCAACTCTTGAGTAATGATTTTAAAGGGGATATCATACAAGACTTACTACGATAATAATTAAAAATTTAAAATTTTGTACAACCGACTTTAATATAAATAATTAAGGATAACTCAAAAACTATTGGTCTGACCTCGATCAAATTTATATGGGACCACATGTGAAACACCAGCTCTTAACAATAAGATATAAGCTCTTAATAATAAGATATAGAATAATAAGACAAGACCAAGAATAATTGAAATTTAAGTAATCGATGCACATATAGTTAAAGATGACGTAGCAACTGGTTAAATAAGTCTTTTCTTTTATGTTGAATTTGTATAAGTCTTTTCTACTAAAAAAAGTCATCTGTGATCAACAGTTACGTCTAAAATTCTTACGATAATTTCTAAAATATTGATATTTGTGAATATTAAAAAAATTTAGTAGATGCGCCTTCTTATCATGAATCGAATGGTATATTTAACTCATTTATTCATAAATTGTTAGATGCGCCCTTTTTTCTTACGACCGCAGCATTGTTTCGTACCGATACAGGTCGATAGCGGAGGGGGTGTGGGTACAGTCGCGTTCTAAAGTACTACATGTTATTGGGCTATTGTTTTATAATATTATAGTAATTAATTGTTTTAATGTAGAATCATAATAGGTGTTTTACTAGCTACTTAGAACTTTGGAAGAGGTGGGAATTAAAAATGGATAATGTTTACATGAGCATTATTTGTTATTTCTATCGTAAAATATAAAGTAGTTTGTAACAAGAGAACTTAAGCTAAGGGTAACACGCCGTCCATTATGACGTCTTGGGTCACATGGAAGCCAGATGTTAATGGTGTGTTGGTGTTACTGGATGCTACTTCATCATCACTTTCATCTTCGCTTGAGCTTCCGTCATCAGGTCGACCACATGGTAATTTTTTCGGTATTCTTCCTCCACACTTTTAACTTTACTGCACAATTTTCCCCATTCACCTTCTCCTATCATATTTACCTTTTCGATCACTAGTTTAGTCATAAAACAATAGATATAAATAATTTTTCTTTCCTTCCTTTTTAAAACATCGTCGCGAGTCACAAAGTAAGCTGTGTATGCGACTGTATTTTTGGAGCGAACAAAGCGCGGGAACCAATAGCATGCAGGCACACTAATACTGGCGGATTGTTCCTCCGTCGCGCGCCTTTCGTACCAATATGTGATAAATCGCTCAGTGCCCAAGTTCAAGGCCAGCGTTTGTTTTTCACCGTTCGCGCGTACATTAACCTCCATTAGTCAGGTGATATCAATTCAGTTTCCACTGCTGGTTTTATGTTTCAGTATTTTCATGATATTTTTTTTATGAAATTATCGTTTCATTTAGCTGTACTAACATGATGGCGCGTGAATAAAGCTAATAAAACGTTGTTAAAAGATGATTTTTTTTTCATCAGGATCGACTTTATTTCGATACCTCCAATGAACACTACGCCAACTCAATTTTTACTCATTTTCAGGTTTTAATGTAAAATTACTCATTAAAATAATATTGTTATACTCCCTAAATTTCTAAAAAAAATTTAAAGAAATAAAAAAGGTTTGAAAATTACATAACGCCAAGTAAATGTACTTTTGACAAACACGCGACACACACCTCGACTACTCGTTTTAGCGGCCTGTATTCGGGATGCGCGGGCGCTAACCGCGCTACTATACGCCGCCAACCAGGATTGGCGGGAAAACACGCGGCGGGAGCGCGTGGCGCTGTGTGTTTATGTTTACGCTAATGATAGTTGGCGGAGTGTCGCCGGTGTGCACGCATTTTTTAATATAAAAGTGGTAACCTGTGATAACACTGTATTAATCACATAGTGTATTAGTTAATAGTGTGTTGTATTTGAAGAAAATCTATAATGTCTGGAGTGCGTGGAAAATATTTGGTCGAGTTATGTAAACAAAAAGACGTCCAGCAGACGAACCATAACAAAATATGTGAGATAATACAAGATTGGAACCAGGAAAAAGGTAATAAGATTTTATTAAGTTATAGTATTTATTATTGTTTGAAATTACGCGATTTATCTTTATAGTTATTGAGAATTGAAAATAATGAGTATGTGTGGTCGAGGTCCAAACGACATTACGCATTCTCAAGTTGGCGGAATGTATTTCGGTACCATTCCATTTCATACTGACTTAGCGGAGTATGCATATTATAATAATAATTACGTTTATTTGTTATTTTGTTATTAAACTAACGTAATGTTCAATCCAATGATAGGTATTTACGAATAAACATTATTCTAAGTAATATTTACCTCGACATTAGTTAATATTTAAAAAAAATCAACTAATAAATTTTCATTCCATTATACCAACGATATTTGGATAACGATTAAATTTGTCGTTTTACCAATTTTTTAATAGAGTACAAAATTATATATCATACTAAAAAGCTACATAGTAAAGTATTTTTGAAATGTTGATACAAAAATCAAATACTATGTAATATTAATTATAAATATAATGCTTGAAATATATACATTCAACGCGTGATACAAAATTTACCAAAATATTTAATCAATTATTTAAATATATTTTACAGTGTCGTCTCCAGTACCTGATGATGTTGATGCAATTATGACACCACAATTTATGTCTATGTTTGAGGATGTCTTTGAAGGACCTATTGAACAACACGAAGATGAACATTTTTCTTCAACACGACTCACTTCTCCATGTCAGTCGACACAAAATCAGATTATAAAAGATGTAAATTTACACATCACAGAACCAGATTCACCATTTATTTATTCTGCTTGTTTAGCTACTGATGTACAAAAGCCTTCTCCAATGACTTTGACTCCACAGTCCGTAGAACATATATTTTCTATAAGTGTTGAAAATTATGAATCGGACTACAATGAATGCACCCCAATGCCTTCACCCTATTGTGACTTTAGCAATTGTTCTCAAAGTGCTGATGAAACTTTGATACCGACCACGATTCCTGAAGATGATGTATCAGAGATATCAGGAAATATTCTCTGTTCCAATCCCCCATCGCTTATTATGCCTTTAGGTACACTTTGTAATGAAACAAATTCAGTGTCGGATATAAATCCTTTATCCGTTTCTTCTACTGCTACATCAAATGATTGGACATCTTATGAGAGTAGTGGAACAAAAAATCCACTAAATAGACGCTCATCAAAGAAACGATCCGACAAAGGACGTAGGCGCATTAAGCATGTAGAAGACTGGGTGGCGACGAAAAGAAAACGTCTTTGTAATACGGGACAAGAATATATTTCTAGAAGAGGGAAAGTCAAAGAGGCAAGAAAAATGAAACCAATTTGTAGTTATAACTGTCGGCTACAGTGTCGTGAAAATTTCAGTGAGGAAATACGGCTAGAACTATTTTCTAAATTCTGGGGTACGGGGAGCCATGTTAAGCAATGGCAACTTATTTCCAAATATGTCTTCCAAAAAAAGAAAAAAACTTGCACTAATCTTGAAAGTAAAAGTATTCGACGATTATATACATTGCATTATCATCTTCCAATAAAGTCAAATGATAATGAAATGATATTAAAAAAAGTATGCAAAACCATGTTTTTAAATACTTTTAGCATAAGTAAAGATTTTGTTTATACTGCTTTACAAAAAAGTAACGAATGTCAAGATTTCCATGATTTCATTGATGGTAGAGGTCGGCATAAGAACCATAAAGTGGTAATTACTAATGAAATTAAACAAAGCGTAATTGATCATGTTAATTCTTATACACCCGTTGAATCGCACTATGTCAGAAAACGTTCAAGTATAAAATATTTAGATCCCTCATTATCATTTTCAAAAATGTTCAAAATGTATCCAGAATGGTGTATAGAAAATAATTATAACAGTAGAGTGCAAACTTTAAGACAATACAAGGACATAGTCAATGCAAATTTAAAGATAGGCTTTCATGTTCCGAAAAAGGATCAGTGTGACCTCTGCCATCAATTTAAGAACATATCTGAAGTTACTGATGAGCAGAGCGAAAAATATATAATACATCAAAAAGAAAAGGAGTATTCTCGAAAGCTTAAACTAGAAAATAAATTACTAGCAACTAATGATAATAAAAAAGCATGCATTGTATTTGATTTTCAGAAAGTACTGAACACATGGAAATATTAGTATTTATTATTACAGACGAAAGCTAAATGTATATAATTTTACTGTATATGACATAGCGCATAAAGAAGCATTCTGTTACATGTGGGACGAACAAACCGCAAAGAGAGGGGCAAATGAAGTCTCTAGTTGTCTTTATGATTTTTTGACTAAACTGGCTTCAAAGGGAGTTACTGAAGTATATCTATGGTCGGATAATTGCGGGGGGCAAAACCGCAACCGGATAGTTTACTACATGTACCTGTTGGCGGCAATTAATCTAAAAATTAAAATTTATCATCGCTTTATGGAGAAGGGACATACACAAAACGAAGGCGATTCAGTGCATGCCTTGATCGAAAAATCAGCCAAAGGAAGAGAAATTTATTCGCCAGATGAATGGTACTCCTTAGTAAGATGGGCAAAAGTAAATGATAAGCCGTATAATGTCATAGAAGTAGAGCAAAATATGATCTTAAACTTTAAAAAGGGTATTTACAAAAAAAATTGGACAAAAAGTGTTTCTAATGATAAGGTTTCTTGGAATAAAGTCAAAGAGATCGGTGCTACTCCAGAAAATATACGAATGCTACATTATAAATACAGCTTAGGTGATGTAGAAAGCCAGCAGATACAATGCTTTAAACAATCGAGTACGAGACAGTCTCGCTCAGAACCTTTTCCAGACAAAGCATATACCGATTTATTGAAAATAAATAGGGCTAAATACAAAGATTTAGTTTTTTTCTGTGATAATAATATTGTACCTCAAAATTATCACAATTTTTATAAGAATTTACAAGTGGCAGATGTTGACCGCGAACTAGATGGCAGCGAAGACGAGGATTGATGTCATCTGAATCAGTGTCTTGCTTCCTTATTTACTAACTATTTCAGTTTTTTTACATAGAATAATTGTTTTGTAAGTTCATAGTTATGGAGTGAAACATACTGATTGATCTCATAAATTAATACTTTAAGTAATTTAAGCGATTATTTTAATTGAAAATGTTTAAGTTTTTTTTACTGTAACTGAGATTGTTCTGATTCTTTAGTATTAATTAAAAAGTTAGTTTTTGTTACAAAAATTGTGCTGATTGATCTCTATATTATTAAATAATTATGTTTATACAGTGATTAGTATATAAGTCTAAAATTTTATATTTACTATTAAACTATAAAAACATTTTTTTTTTCATTTCCAATTTAAGTAATATAACCCACTACCAAAAAAGAGATTAATTATAAATAATTTTGATAATTCAGTATATATTAGTTATCAGTATAATATTATTTTGTCTAATTTTGTAAATTTTAATATAAAATATTGGAAAACCATACGATTTTATTCATATTTTGTGTCAAACAAAACGCTAACTGTTAAGACTGATCATGTTATTCTACACTATGTATGTGTTAGCGGCATGTAACACGGTAGTTGATTTTATTACTTTCCCGATTACAAAACGCTAACTTTTAAAATATAGAAATAAGAGAACATTTTAACAAGATATGTTAGTTGAAGCAGTAAAATAATTCTATTATTGAATCTACTTTAAAATGAATACGAAATTATATTCTAGTATGGGTTTAATTAATATTTTTCAGTTCTCTCATATTCCGAGATATGCTCCGCTAACTGTGAGTTGGCGGAGTGTAACGGAATATCAAATGATATTTTTCCGTCTTAAACTCCGTTAACTAGAGCAAATTTTAAAACTTTATAAAATAATTAAAATCCATTTATGCAGTTAAAAGCAACACTAAATTATATATTCACCCTGATAATATCATTAATATAGGTGTGATAATAAAAAAATTATCAACGTTTTTTCTTTCAGAGCTTCTCCTGTAAACCTACAAAATCCTAGTTGGCGTAGTGTAAATTGGAGGTATCGATTTGTAACCCATGATCAAAGGTATACTTGGTGCTGTCGCCTGTCTTAGTTTTCGGGAGCGTTCCAAAAATACCCTGTATATATCTTTATAATATATCTTTAATGCATGGGAGAATTCACAGGATGCTTTGGGTATATTTTGTGACCTATCCAAGGTCTTGGATTGTGTTCACCATGAAACATTAATCAGGAAACTTCAACACGACGGTGTAAGAAGTGATATTTCTTATTTATTTACACTGTTTTGCACTAAAGGTGCAAATAGCTTATGCAATATGGTTAGTAATGATGATGAGGGTATGAGCTCTATCATCACGAACTTCTTCATGATCAGCTCATAAAAGCCCGCGCCGTGAACATTGAACTCGCCGTACTTGGCAGGCGGATTGACGATCGCAGTACCATGTGTAATCGTACCTTTGACGCTGCTGTCCGTCGCCGGCGGGGGTATTTTGACGTTCTCCAAATGGTCGTACCGCCATCTGTCGCAAGCCATTAATATTTACTGGAATTGAACAAAGTCGCACCCTACCACAAACGACGTAGTAAAGTGGTGATGGATAGTAAAGTGGTCCGTCGACCCATTTTAAATTCAATAAAATATATTTTTTCCGTTGTTGCAGATATCACAAAATTAATAATTGTGTACAGTCTTACAGTATACACTCACAAGTTTTGCCCCAATCATCTACATTTCAAGACATCAAAACAACAGATTGTTCAAATAGTCCAGTGGTAACTACTTCAAATATATGCAACTTCTAAATTTGAAAATATGTATAATATAATGAAAAATAATGTAGATAGTAAATATAGAAATCAATCACAGCCAAATTTAGAACCAAATTTATTTGACAATGCAGTAGAGGCGAATATAAAGGTAGAATATTCCGACGAAACTCTTGACCCAACTCGTCCACTTACATAAATTTAAACAGTGGAAAGACCGTTCTTACGAGTATATTTAATTTTGATGACAATCAAGAAATTTTCAATTTAAATCAAACATTTAAGAATAATTCTAAGTTAAAAATTATCACATGTGAGCTACTTTAGAATAGATGTGTCGATGATGAAGAACTTAAAGCTATAAAAAAAGGCTGTTTTCAGCATTATTAATACACTAAACAATAAAAATAACGAAAAAAAAAACCAGTTAATATACAAACTGATAAAATCTTGATTTACATTTTAATTTCTTTATAAATCTATTTTATTTTTGTAGGGTCATAATCCAGTGGCGGCTGCAAAAGTACAAGTCTCCAAACTGCAACAAATTGCACCTAATCAGAGTCACCATACGGGATTTTTGCAAGCCGTAACCCGCCCAAAAGGTCAAACCAGGCGCCCACATTCTCTTAGAGACTTTTCAGGTAACAACAACAGTTATAATAATCAAAGACAACATCCGTATCGCAATCAAAACCACGATCTAGCTAGGCCTCCAGGAGCTCAGGGTCATTACGATTCCAACAACAATGTGATTGCGTTACTTCAACCACAACAGTAACTACAATACTATGTGGGTGCAATGAAATAATAACCGGCAATAACAAGATGCCGCTGGCTGCAAGCAGTATATTATGCCACATAATGTAATTTTTAATTTTCTATTCAACTTCTATTTCTTTAAAGCAGCAAGCAGGGATTTAAATAAATATTACTGAAATTATAATGTATTACCTAGTCATCATGGTGCTCCTCTGGGGCTCATGTTTTGGTGATATAGATGTCGGTGTAACCAATGGAATACTAAGGATAAGTGGTGCTAATAATTGTACTTCTGATGGTGGTGATGGGCCCCAGATGATGCTCTATGATAATGATAGACAATATCTGGTCACCAAAAAAACCCATGTTTGGCTTAATTAACTGGGAATGTGAGAATAACAACAAGGGTGAAATTGTTTAATTTTTTGAATGTGCTGAATGTAGCACATATTGTGTTTACAATCAATATATAGAGAAATGTGCAAATAGGACAATTCCTATTTTGTTTGCAACATTATTATCTATCCTAATGGCACTAATGACTTTGATAATGATTATGAAATTTTTTGAAAGTCATGTTCAAAAAATAATACTAAATGTTATCATATTTTTCATTATGCGATCTGATAGGAAAAGGGCAATGAGGATTAGAAGGTATAACAAAATATCAAATCAGACTCTTGAAGTCAAATTTAAAGACATTAAATACAAAAATGAAATCATAATGCAAGAAATTATCAAACGGAGATTAGAATTATCAGGCAAAGATAGTAATAATGAAGAGATATATGCAGAAATATTGTATAACAGATCAGCTGATTATAGAGAAACAAACCGTATATTGAGAGAATCAGAGAAAAGATTAGAGTTTTTACAACAGGACGGGGCATCTAGACCACTAAGATCTATATCTATATCAAAGAACATAGTAAGAGGTACTGCCATTCTGGCAGCAATGCCTAATGCTACTTATCAATGTGACCAGATGCTGTATCTAAAGAGCAATGGAAGGATATGCTATAATGCACATTGTTATGACTTATCTACATACTCTCTGATGTTATCAGAAGGACAAACTGCTTGTTTTAATGACCTAGACAACAATAGACTTTCTATTAAATTTGAGAACATGTACAATATTGGAAGGTACAGCAAACTATACGACACAAGTAGTTATAACATAACTAACACTATGACATGGAATTGTTATGGGTCAGGAAAATGCTGGTATGGTAGTGAATGTGGAAATGGATATAAACTAAACACTCTAGAAAAAAACAGCACAAACCCAAATGGCTATGGATGCCACATGTCATCTGTATCTTGTAATGGTTTATGTACTCATGGAGTGTCATGTGTCTGGTATAGGTGGGAAGTTTTGCCTAACATGAATAATATTGCAAAAGTATATCACTCAGTGTCAGAATTATGGGAAAGTACACTTGTTATAATTTATAAAAACATTTCTAGAACAGTAGTATTCAATACTAACAACCCTACATTTGATCTGCATGATATACTGAACTATGAAATGTCTCATATGCCAGTTAATATTCATAGTGTAACTTATGAAAAGCCATTAAACAAACATGCTATTGTAGAATATAAGAATAATTATTATAATTTGGATGTGAGTCCACACAACTTGCCAATTGCCAATATGATTGGAGACATACAAATATCTGATGACAAGAAAGTCATATTTCACACAGATAACATTGTAGTATTGATAGCTGTGTAGTTAAATGTATTTTGAATGAACCATCAATAAATAGGTTATTAGATCGTAGCCCATACAAAGTTGATCCAGAAATTATCCATAAAATGACAACCTTTGGAGAAAAATGGATAATGTATAAGCAAAGGGTGGCTGGGCATGTCACTATATCTTTTGGGAATGTTGAACTTAAAGAACTTATTGTTGAATAACCACATTGCTCTGTTGAAATTGTCATGAATTATGCATGTTTATCATGTCTAGAATTACCAAAAGTGGTAATAGCATCAAAGGGATTAGTTAGAGAGGGAGCACTAACTTATGAATCCAACTGTACCTGGGATCACGACCTATTGTCATGCAATAGTCAAATGTATGAAATTAAACAACTATCTATTCATCCGATATGTAGAATCCATATTCCTACATTGAATCAAACTATTGATATCAACTTTAATTTTGAATACAGGGGTACCCTCACTAATATGAAATCAATTAGAGCTGAAACAACACTTGATGTAATAAGTACAATTGGATCAGACCCATACTTTTATACTACATTATTAGGATCTTTAAGTAGTTTTCTCCTTTTAACTACCATTACCACGGTAATCATTAAATTGACTAAACTAGGTATCATAGCATGTGGAAAGAAAGAAATTTCTAATGCTTAGTCATATGTGATTAGATTTAAGCTTCTTGTAATCATGATTATAATTGTAACCATTTATTAATTAGGAACACCTATCTTAATAAGCATTATATTATTTCATTGTTTTAACTATATTAGTTTTAAGAAAAAAAAAGGAACAAACACAAGCTAGTGATGCCAGTTTCTCGACTCCACAGATTCAGTAATTAATTCTTGGGGCAATGTATACGCTATTACAACAAGGTCCCGGAAAGTGTACAGGTTCTCTCTATTACCAAGTTTAAATGTTTTATTAAGCTGAAACTGTATAAAAAGGGTTATTATAGTATAAATGAATACATGGTTCATAATAACCCCTGGGAATGAGGTGGTCGCTTCCAAGCAGTTTCTAAAATAAATTTTGTAAATAGTTCGTAATCATTTATATTGTAAAATTTATTTAAAAAAAAGTCCCGCTGGGTTTCTTGCTGGTTCTTCCCAGGACAGAGGGTTTTTTTTCGAACCAGTGGTAAAGTAAAAAATGACTCAATAAGAATTACACATGTAATGTATATTGAATAAAAAATATTCTATTCTATTCTATTCTATTCTAAATTCCTTTTGATTTTTTATGTACATAGTCAATCAAATGTCAATTTTATTTTTATTTCAAATATTATGTTAATTTGCATTTATATTCGATTTTAACGTCTATGTCTGTTGTCAAATTATAGAATTTTTGGGAATATTTGCTTTAGTTGCCATGCTTCGCTTGGCAATCGTAGTTTTGTTATTATTTTGACTTTATCAGGATGACGCTGCTGCTCATCTCCTGGTTTGTTCCTCTCTGTCGTCTGTTACGACACCTACGGGAAGGTATGGGATAGTGGATATTCTTGTAACGCCACTATTGCTGTGCGTAAAGGAACAATTTAAATTAGGATATTTAGTGTATTATTCTTAGCTAATCTACTTCAAAGTTTTGCTTGAAGATCTAGTAGGTAAGTAAAAATACATGTTTTGACATAATCATTCTGAAATAATATCTTTTTAATATAGAAATTGGATTTTAATGCAAATCAAACTTTAATAGGTATATTGATATATAGTTTTTTTTGGAGGGTAGGTGTGAAAAAGTTGACACGTTTTGATAAGAGCTCTTTAATCTTTAAAGTTATAAAATTAATTACACAGTATTATTTACAACATTTTCAATAATATAATTAATAAATGTGACTTATAGTACCCACCGGACAGTATTTTCCTATAAAAGTATCTAAAATTAACATCACTTCATAAACTTATTTTTTGGTTTATTTGCACTGTCGCTACACATCACTATGGACTCAGTTAAAGAATCACTCAATGCTTTGGCAGAAATGTTCCAGCAGAAAATGGGTGAGTTTCAACAGGACCTTGAAAGTACACCAACATCTAACACAACCCTGGGAACGGAGTTCAACAGTTTCAGAAGCTTTGTGCTCTCTGCAATGAACACCCTACAGAGACAGGTTGAATTCCTTAGCACTGAGCTTGATCGTCAGGAGATGCGTAGAAGGCGCAAAATGCTATTGTTCCATGGAGTCAGCGAGCAGAAAAAAGAAGATACTGCTGCGCAGGTCTGTAACATTGTGGGTGAACATTTTGACGTCCTTCTGGCAACAAACCCAGGCCAATATTGGTGAAGTTTACAGACACTGTAATGTATGACAAGGTTTGCTTCTCTAAAACTGGATTAAAAGGCAGCGGCATTACTCTATCAGAGTTTTTAACAAAGAGCCGTCATGGCATGTTTATGGAAGCAAGGCAGCGATTCGGTATCAGTAAGTACTGGACTAGAGACGGCTTTATTCATATCATAGCCCCTGATGGTTCGCGTCATCGAGCTGAGTGTAAGGCAGATTTGGATGGCATACCTCAGTTGTCATATAAGCCTCTGACTCAAGGCACTGCTAGTCTTACTTCGAGGTCCAAAAGAACAGTAAAAACTAAGTAAACGATGCATTTAATATTCTTTTCCTATACATAATTTTACTTTATCTTTGTTTATATTACATCAATTAGAATATACATTATAAACACAAATTTACATTCATCTTCCTCTTTATTTGTATACTAACGATTTGTCAGTTTTACAAACTTTACGGTTTGTTTTTATATAGCAATTTAACTATTTAACCCTCATATTTATATTTAAAAGCTTGCTTTGAAACTAGTGGATAGGTAGTTCGTTTTGTTTATCTTTGTGACAGCAGTACTATTACATCTATCATTATCATATCATGACATCTAGCCACAGACAAAATATCTGCCGTGGCTACAAGGGTTTTTGCGTAGTATAAAACCCTGTTGTTCATAATATTTTATTTCTGTTTCTTTTTGTTAATTTTTAAGTATATAAATAAGTATTTTGTGTGTTTACGCCTTTAGTACACCTACGCATTCGTATGCGGTAGCGAAACAACGAAAAAACTGTAAGTAGTGTGGCAGGTTTTCGTATATGATATGTCTCACTCTAGCACATAGATAGATGAAATAGTTGCGTCCTTGTCAGTATTGTTTCGCAAGGACCTGCGAAATGGCCGTTACACAGACGCATACGTTTCGCTAGTGATGTTTCGCATCGCAAAGCGTCAGCTCGCGTTCTATCGGTGAGGACAGATTTTCGCGCCATAGATGCCGAAAATACTGAATTATTTTTGCATTCTATTCGAGATTATCCCGTATTATACGCAATTGGTCACGCAGATTATAAAAATACGTACAAAAAAGAGGTAGCATGGAGAAAACTTCAAGAAAAACTCGGATAGATGGTAAGAAATTTATTGTTTACATTTCATACAGGCATACATTTTATGTTTTTAATTTTCTTTGAAATAATTTACAAATTGTGATCGAACATTAAACGCTGCTAAGTCTGCCCTATGTCTATTGGCATGCATTGGTACGAATGCTCTTAGTGTCCGAAAATTGTTTATTTTCGTATGTGTGTGCACCTTCTTGTATCTGCAATAAGTTATGCAAGCATACTACAGCTTTAACAATTTTAATAGTATTATTCAAATCTGTTTCAAAGGGCCTCAAGAATATTCTAAATTTTTGTGCTAAAATGCCAAACGCACATTCTACTACTACTCGTGCCCTACTTAATGATTTATTAAATCTTTTTTTATCATTGTCATTCATTGCTGCGTCTCTAGTGAAAGGTCTCATTAGAAAGGTTTCTAATTTAAATCCTCTATCTGCAATGAATACATGTGGTGTAGTCTGTTGGAAACCTGGCAAAGGTTTTGGAGCTGGCAAATTTAAATCCCGTCCACTTTTTAAAAGCTGATAAAATGATGAGTTCTCAAATATTGTACTATCGGAATCTTTACCATATGATCCTACATCTATGTAAGTAAAGGACATTGCTCTGCGCCCATACATTGTTCGCCCTGGAACCAAGAGCATCGGAAAATTATGTATTTTATTGTTGATCATTAGTAAATTCCTATTTGATCTTATTTTTATAGCGGACTAGCTGCATAATAGATATATTTCAAAAAAAGTATCAGATTTTGAGGTTATAATCGAACCACGAATATTACGTTTTTTCATAGATCCGAGTGATTTTTAACAAACTGAAAAACAATGTCCCAAAACATTTATCTATTTCTAGTACCTATCTACATAATTAGGTATGCAATTTTTGTTCTAAAGCCTAAGTGTATGTAAGTGCAACGTATAAATGCATAGAATGTAGTTAACAAACCTGCTTTCTGAGCATTGGTTTTGAAATGAGAGATAATGTTTGTGTGTATTAACACGTTAAACGCCATTATAGAAAAAAGTTTTTTGTAAAAAAAAAAACTTGTAATTTATGTATTTAATCAAGATATGTATGTATACTGTTTTTCATAAGAATCTGCCATAGGGTTCCGTAAATATAACAAAAAAAACCCTTGAGGTCACCGGTGCCCCCCATGGCGCTATAAAGTAATAAAAATAGTTTCCGTTACGAAGGCGCCACGCCGGTCACCGCGTCGGCCACCCACCCGCTCAGTACTGCGCTAGCGCCCGTGAAGAGAAAACGTGAGTGTTCTATGTTGCTGTAATACTTTGCGTCAAGTACTTAATTAGTGTGATATTGTGTGCAGTGAACTTGAATATTATGAACATTGCAATAAATAATTAAAAATGGAAATATTTAGCAGTAAAAAATTTGAAGAATTACAGGTGGACATGGAAGATTTTGATTTTACACAGGAAGATTTGCGGGCATTAACATTACTCGAGACTAGCATTGTACAGCAGAATGAACGAGATAATCAATCAGATCTAGAGTTGTCGGATTCAAACGAAGAACAGTTGCATATTCCGAAAAAACGAACACGTTTAATCATCCAAAGCGACAGTGAGAGTGAGTCTGATTCCGTTCGAAATTATGTCACAGCCAATATTACCGCCTCAGATCGTGTGTCAAAGAAATGGTCACGCCCTAGGCGTCAATAACCATCTATTATACCATTTACCGAAACTTCAGGTATGAACAAAGAATTTTCTACTATATTAAAAGAAGCAGACCCGGGAGCTTTTTATAGTCTTTTAGTGTCTGATGAAATTTTCGATATGATTGTAGAGCAGACCAACTTATTCGCCTTACAATCCTGCGAATCGAGAAATGTAAAACCTTCATCAAGATCTCATGCTTGGAAGCCAACAGACAGACATGAAATTAAACGTTTCTTTGGACTTATCCTATACATGGGTCTTGTGAGACTCCCAAAGTTAAGCTATTACTGGAGCAAAGATAAAATCTTAGGACAGACATTTCCACGTACCGTCTTGAGCCACAATAGATTCGAAATAATCCTACAGTACCTACATTTTAGTGATAATGAAACCGCAAATAAATCTGATCGAATCTCTAAGATAAGACCGATTATAGATATGGTCAATAATACGTTTCAAAAGTATTATTCACCGAAAGAAGACATCTGTGTCGACGAAAGTCAGGTTCCATTCAGAGGGCGGATTGTATTTAGACAATACAATAACAGTAAACGCCATAAATATGGTTTAAAGCTATTCAAACTATGTACTATTCCCGGGTACACTTGCAAATTTTCGTTGTATGGCGGTAAAAATATCGATACCGTAAATACTACGCCTACATCAGTGGTAATGTCTCTTTGTAGCCAAATATTAAACAAAGGCCACACTTTGGCAACTGATAATTGGTACACCAGCTTAGAGTTGGCTTACAATTTACTGGAACATCAAACGCACTTGATTGGGACTATTAGGAAAAACCGAAGAGGTTTACCTAAGGATGTAGTAGAAGCCAAACTTCAAAAGGGAGAGTTCATGGCCATGGAAAACGAGGATGGTATAACAATTTTAAAATGGAAAGATAAGCGGGACGTGATGATGCTTTCTACTAAACATTCTGATAAAATGCCAACAATCACCAAAAAGGGCAAACAGATTACTAAGCCGAAAGTGATTTTAGATTATAATAAGTCAAAAGGATCTGTCGATATGAGCGACCAAATGTCGTCGTATTCTTCTCCCTTACGTAAAACTATTAAGTGGTACCGGAAACTTGGTATTGAGATTTTGTTGAATACTGCCGTAGTAAATGCATGGATTATGTTTACCGAAACTAGGAACACAAAAATGTCAATCGTAGAGTTTCGGAAATCTCTAGTAGACTATCTAACAAGCTCGTCAGATTCTCAGCAGACTGAGTCAGGAGTAACGGTATCAAGACCCAAACGTTTGAAGCACGAGTTGCTAACAAAAACTGGGACAGTGAGATATACTAGACGATTTTGTGTACACTGTTACAAAGATATGGTAAAGCAGTTTGGACGAAAATTGGCGAAAAATAAAGCTAAAAAGGTTAATACTTTTTGCGCTCATTGTGATGGAAACCCACATATCTGTTTATCCTGTTTTAATAAGATCTATCGTTATGTTTAGTTCTTTCTAGTCAATTATTGATTTAATTTTTTCTGATTGCATTTTTATTTTAATGGTAATTTTTGTAGCATTTCCTGGATTTTTTCCTGTGTAAGAAGACATTTTTTTTTAATTTGAAGTTTATATTGTTTGTTTTATATTTTTAATAATGTGCATTGTAATAGCTTTAAGATTTAATGTGATTAAAAGTCATGTATCATGAAATTAGTCGCTTTTTTATTTTATCTTAAGGATATTGTACATATTTCCTAAAATTTTCTAAGTAGCCACGTCCCCTTGAAAAGGATTACTCTATAGCGCCAAAGCGGTCACTCGCATACACGAAATGTACGACACGCGTGACCGGCGGCCCAAAAATACATTTCGAATATGCCTCTCGCTTGAGGTCACCGGTGACCCCCATGGCGCAATAAAGTAAACCAGATGAGGTCACCGGTGACCCCCATGGCGTTCAACGTGTTAATGTAAAAATAAAAATATATGTATATAATGGCTGTTAGCATTTAGATGTTTTCATTAGCATATACGTTACGGTAAGATACTTAGTATCTATATGTATAAGGATTTAGGCTGTCAGTCACACCGCTAGACATGCCGTCGAACAGCGAGCGTATCAACCACGGTTTCAACCAAGTTTCAACAGCGCGCGCATGAACAGCGTGAATATTATAGACTACTATCTAGTACATTTGCAAGCGTGTGCGTCTAGACGGCGCTGTTCAAACGCGTGACTATGAAACCAGCCCTACCGACTTTGTACCTAATTGGTAGTATAAGTTGTTTTTACACGTACATTAACTTATTATGTTTGAATTAGAAATAAAACACAGATTAATTTCATGTTTATTGTTAATTTTCTAAATTGGAAATAAGAATATTGTCTAAAAACTGTGCAGGGATGTCGATATTATTTTGATACACAAAATACACTTTCCATTGCGTATGCGTAAGTCCGTTTATGAATGCTAGGTTATCGTTTGAGTGGTACACAGTTCCAAAAATCACAGCAAAGTAAGTCGTTCTTGAAAGCAATCAGAGTCCGTTAAAATAGCCAAGTCGTAATGTTCAATATATAGTCCCGAAAGTCACCACAACACCGATACAATTATGTACAAAGACAATTACAATTGCAAACGACGCCAACCAATGTAACTTTGACAGAATTAGAGATGACGGTACAAAGTAGGCATGTCCATTTGAAATCGTTTAATCGATTGTTTATAGTAACAGAATCGATTTTCCAGATCGATTTAGATCTGAAGAATCCTTGTCCGATGTCGATAGAGAAACCTCTCGAATCGGACTTATTCAAGAACGAGCTATATTTCAAACGATTCAAGAAATACTTTTGCATAGTTGGAACATCTGTTCCTTGTGACAGACAGAAAAACTGTTCTGTTCTGGGTTCGATCCCAGGGTCGGGCAAATTATTATTGGATTTTTATATCTTGAAGTTCCCAGTAGTAGCACGGAGTCTGGATTTGTGTCCGGTGTTTGGCAATACGCGCATCCCCTATTACATGGAATGTATACCATAACAGTACTTACACACCTCTACCTACTCCTTCTGGAAAATACTGGCGTAATGTTATGTTTATTAATTTAATGATTTTTCTATACAGTTACTTGTATTTACGGTAAGTTATCATCAATAATGTTCTGTGTCTATATATGCCTAATATTTTATTAATATTTGAAAATGTCGCGATTGATCAAAAATAGATCTGTTAATGCTTGATATAATCGAGAATCGATTCTAGTATGTTCGATTTGCATCGATTTGGAGATCGTATTTTTTTCATGAGAGACTGACAAGTGACCATTTAGTGACATCAAAAATAGAATCGCCAAATACGATACGACTTATGAATATTTCCTAAGATTTATTATAGCCGTACGTTACAAACAGTATACCATCTATATATACCATCTATATATCATATTTTGTCATACGATAATATTAATACCATAACACTGTCCTACTTTACTTATAATAACACGTACGTCTCTACTTCTTCCATACTTGTAACAATATTAATAATAATATCTGTATCTAGTCTGCAACATTGCTCTTTTTAAAAAAAAAACACATTTATAATTAATGCAGTAACGATAACAGTTTTCTTTTTAATTAATTGTCGTAAATTAGTAAGTTATCGTGTAGTAAGATGTAAAATATACTCCTGTCTAAACGATCATTAGAAAATCCTGAATAATTATCTTTACGAATATTTTTCTTCAGCAATATTCTAACTACCTATTCAAAATCGAGTATGACATTCAATAGGTATAGTAGGTTTTTAAAATTATACTATATATTAATAATAATAATATATAGTAGGGAATAATATAAAAGAATACAAGGAAATGGTAATATAATATTTTTATTGTAGCTTCTTTTAGCAACTTTATTCGAAATAAATCAAAATGTAATTCAGATTAAAAAATATGCAACAGTTCATTAAAAATTCAAAAATCGATTACAATCGATTGGGCATCCCTAATCATTTTTCGACACCACATGATGTTTGGCGAAGATGGCGGCGATTAATGTTATTAGTCGAATATAATACTTTTTAATGTTCATGTTTGCATGCAGCTAGTCCGTGTTATAAAAGTATTTGCAACTAAGATAATAAAATAGAAAATTAATTATCGTGTATGTCCGATGCTTTTATTACACAGGGCGGTTTTGGACATTGTCCTTTGTAATGTGGATCAACTATTGCCAATAACACAGTAGAAAATCGTTTTTTATAGCAATAGAACAGTGAGCCGCTGTTAGGAGGACATTTAATAACAATATGCTTGCCGTCAATACTCCCGAGGCAATTAGGAAAACCCCATATTGTTTGAAATGCTTCAGCTATTTTCAACCATGTTTTGGTAGAAGGAACCGGGATGTACTCTGGCTGTAGTATCTTCCAAATTTGTTCGCATACTTGAGTTACTATCTTTGAAACGGTGCATTCACCCAAACGATAAGAGAAAGATATTGTTGTGTATGTGTCACCAGTTACTAAAAACCTGAAATATTGTTACAGTTAAAACTATGAAAAATAAATGGAGAAACCTAAGGGACACTTATAAAAATATAAACAGGGTCAGCAAACAAGCAGTGGACAAGCCGCGAAGAAGCTTGCTAATTGGCAATGGGCTGAACAGATGTCGTTCATAGATTCATCCACAAACTTGAGATAAACTGAAAGTACACTGGATACCAGTACTATATCTATAGAGAATGATTATGAAAATTCTACAGAAGCCGAACAGGTTTCAAATAATGAACAGAACGAGCTCGTCGTTCAAGAACTGGAGACAGCACGGTCTACAGCTGAAACTACAGCTGAAACTGCAACTGAAGTATCCCGGAGAAGACGACGCCGTGTAAGCAACGACGATCCTGCTGAGAAGATTATAAATTATTTAAAGACTCGAAAATCGGGTACTACGGACAGAAACGCTACAGAAAATCTTGTCAAAATACCGTGTGATCGAATGGACATGGATTTTTTAGGTTATGCCCATACTGTAAAGAAATTTTCTCTACGAAAGCAAGCTATTATTAAACTTCAAATAACACAAATTTAAACTGAGGCTCAACTTGAAGAATTGAATAATAGCCGGTCAAATTCTAATTTCAGCAATGCTTCATCCTCTAGTACTCCCAATTTTTAGTACGTCGATAACGACTGGAACATTTCAAGATCGACACCATCTGAAGAACTGCAAACACATTCCATCCCAGACACTCAAAACGTTTCAACTGCACAGATACACATACCTAATACTCAAACACATTCGATCCCAGACACTCAAAACGTTTCAACTGCACAGATACACATTCCTAACACGCAAACACATTCAATCCCAGACACTCAAAACGTTTTAACTCCTACACTGATACACATACCCAGTGGCAGAAGAATTACACACACCCAAGTATCACGACAACAAAAAAACGAGAACACAACACGACATCTAAAAAATATACATGAATTTCTTTGTAATTGGAATGAACCGTGAATAAATACTTAAACATTACCTATAAGTAATAAATTTTCTTACCTTAAGCACAGTTTATTTTCTCCAAGTTTCCGTCGTTTCTGATTTATTTCATGCACCCAGATTCTACGCTTTCTCTTTAGTACTGACACCAGCAATAACAATTCTTCTTCTTCAGAATCTGAAAGCGATGACTGAGATGACATTCTGAAATTACGTCTGCACGTGTAGTCGTCGAAAATTACAATGGCATATCATTGCGAAAAAGTTGCGAAAACATTGCTGTGTACTAACGTTCCGCAGATATTTCGCTACGCAGTAGTTCCGCAGAGACTCGCTGCCGCATACGAATGCGTAGGTGTACTAAACGCCTTATAGTTACAATAATTTTTGTTTTTCTTCTGTGAATGCTATTAATTTTTCTTCTATGAAGTGAATCTTTCCTTGCAACTGGGGGGTGGGTTTGTAAACCACTTTTTTTCTTATATTTATTATTTATATTATATTTATAGATTGATATCTATGAGTTTCAATAATGATAATTTAGGCTGGTTTTATCGTTATGCGTTTCGGCTGCGCTGTTGGTGCGCGCGCGTTCGGATATGTATTGGGGTAGTAGTTGCGTTTTAAAGTCGCGCGCTTGAGCAGCGCCGTTTGGTAAACGCGCGTTGTTCGCCGGCGCTGCCGAAGCGCGCGCCACTCGGGCGCTTCAGCATTCAGTATGCGTTTTAGTGTGACGCCGTTGAGACGCGCCGTTAGGTATTGTTGTGTACAAAATGAATTACATCGACACGGGGCGAGTAATTGAGGAAGTGCGATTTAGAAGATGTTTATGGGACCCGGCCGAAGATTCATACAAGAATAAGGATGCGAAAAATAAAGCATGGGAAGAAATTGGAAAGGAATTGTGTGGTGAAAATTTCAATACAGCCTTAGGTAAGAAAAATTTTTTAATAAAATAATTTTTGTTACATGTATTGTCTGGTACTAATGAA